GTTAATTTGCCAAAAGAAGCACAGCTTTGCACTGCCATACGAACTGGTGAGAGGAGGAGAGGGCAGGTATGGCAGCAAGGAAGGAAAAGGAGAGGCTGAGCAAGTTCAGAGCGAGAATGAGTTTGCAGGTAAAGAGAATGATAAAGCCATCACGCAGAAAGTCGGCATCACGGCGTGCCTGAGCTGCACAGCAAACACGGCTCAAATGGTCTTTGAAGAATTCTCTAGGAGAAAGGCAGAAAAACAAGCACCAGAGCCCACAGCTGAGAGAAATCTGTCTTACAAGTCCGTATTTTACTGCTGCTAAGAGTTAGTCACATCCCCCAGCGACAGAGGCCACGGGCAAACACAAGGTTAGCTGTAGGAGATCTAGGAGATATTTGTGTATCCCAGCTCCAAGCCAAGTAAGATGAAAGACTACAGTACAATTTACACTGGAAGTAAAGTCCTGGAACAGAAACGACTTGGGAAGTCGGAACAGCTGAGCAAATGTGATGAGAAAATAGAGCAGACATAGGGATGCTGGAGGCAATTCCAGAGATATTTTGAGGGACTGTCACATTACTGCTGTCTGTGACCACTTGGAAGCACAGGAGAGCCAGGACAACCTTCAGGGAATTATATTTTCTGCTCATTTATTTTCTGGACTTAATACATAGACCTCATTCTACCATGTGAATTGCTTCAGGGTACAGAAGCTCCAGGGAAGTGGTGAGAAAAGAAGTATTAATTCATGCTAGTTTGAGGGACAGAGCAAGGTTAAGGCATTTAATATTTCAAGCATATATTGCAATCAAATTAAACCTTAAAGACTAGGAAAGAAATGTTAGTATAACATGGAGGGGGAAAAAAATCTACCTCACATTAAACTGCCATAATAAATTTCACTGCTGCAGTTTACAGTAGTTCTTTAAGTGAACAGAAATACTTATTTTACTTTATTTCACCAGAAATATAGGCATTTTAATTGTTAAAACGGAAATTCTTTAAAACTTTGAATTATGAGTTTTCCCAAAATAATCAATTAATTGAATAAAATCCAGCCTTATGAACACTTTTTTTCTAGCTGAGGGCTTGTTATTTGAACAAATACAAGCTAAAGTTATATTCCAATAGCCAAATAAAGTGATTTACTCATTTGCACAAACAGACTGTTTAAAAGTGAAAATTCCCCAAACAAGTCACTCCTCCTTGAAAGAACTTTTTTACTTTGAAATAAAGCCTTGTCAAGTAGCTAGTTGCAAGTAGTTTTACAAGTCTCCCGGCAAATTAAATAACTTTAGTAAAATCAGTAACTATCCTACTCATTTCAAACTATTTCAAACAGCAGCTATTTGATCATATATATAGTACATATAGCACACTATGAAGCTGGTTATTTGGGGAGTTTGGAGTGTTATGCTATTTTTTTTATTTGTGGCTTGAGTGGGAAAGCAAGGGAATGTTGGTTCCTTAGGGTTTTAGATGGCTTGAATTCTTAGTTTTCAGAGATTCTTCTTCCCAATGGTACATTAACTTTCTGCCAACCTCAGTCCTTGCTCCCTCTCCCCAAAGAATCAAGGGACTGGAATCAAGGACATGGAAATAATGACTTGAAAGAAAAAAAAAATTAAAGTTTCTTTTACATAATATCTACAAATAAATAGCATTGCCACAATGTTATCCAAACTGTCTTAGTATACTATATCTGAAAATAATGCAACTAGTTTAGCTAACAGAGTCTCCAAATGCAAACAATTTGCTGAACATATGCAGTCAAAGGCACCAGGGTATTTCTATGTTCCAGCTATAAATCTGAACATAGCATTCCTATCTACTCCTTATGGGCTCAGGTGCCAACAGCCATGAAGTTAGAGTACCATGGAATTCAGCATAGGACTGAAAAACATATCCAAGATTTTGCACAGATTTATTCATTGGGATCACCCGAATTATCTTGAAGTACTGTTTTTCACACGGGCTTGTACGGGCATACATTTTAAAAGAGCAAAACCCAAGCAAGAATGACATATGCTCTTCAGTCATTCAAGATGGAGGGAAGTATGTTTGTTTATTTTAATTTAAATTTGGCCAGCTACTGCCCAGCCATCATCCAAAAAAACAAGCTTGACATAAACCCAGTGAACTGCCCCACTGGCATAGGGCTAGTATGCACCTGCAGGCTTCTGACCTCAAGAGTTCCTCGAGCAAGTTTTAGTGAACTTCCCTCCGCCCCCGAAAACCCACCTCAGATCAAGGGTTAAAGGCCTCCTTCTGAAGAGGAAGGCAGGGACAGGTCTCTGTGGCTAGCCCTTAAGCAGCAGACTCTCAGCCAAATACCTGCACAGCAGGCGAAGAGATGAGCAGGGCCAGACGAGGGGGCTGTCTGCTGGCTGGACAGTGCTGGCCCTGCTCAGAGGTCCCCGCTGGGAGGGCTGGACAGCGGCCCCGGGAACCTGAGCAAAGGCATTTATTTATTGCAGGGCTGTTGGCTGGGCAGACTGAGTTAAATCATCAAAGAAGAGGGAATAATTCTGAGGTGTGCGTGTTTGCAGGGGTGGGGGATGGTGAGATGTTTTGATACAGGAGGGATTGGGGATGGTACGTATTAACCAGTGCAAACTCTAGGAGAGGGAAAAGTTAGGGAATGAGGGTTTCCCAGGTCACTCAAATTTGGTGAGAGGAACATACTTCTTGCTTTCCGCTCCTACACAGGACTGTTTTACTCCTCTCAGCTCCACCCTGTTCTCTTATTCCCAACTCCACATGTTGCAGAATTACTTCCTAATGACTTTCTAGGTGGACAAAGATAAAGTGGATGAGGTTGAACAAACTTATTCTAAATTCATCTTTAGATTACTTTAGTGATTTTTCCAAACTACAAGGTTTTGTGCAAACCACAAGATCAAAATAAGGTATCTCTACCTGGCAATTCCCTGTCAACATAAGGAAAACTACTTAGCTTCCTTCTTAAGCCTTTGCTTGAAAAACAAAACAAAAAACCAAAAAGCAATAAGCCCACCCACAACATACGTATACACATACATACACATGCACATACCCCTCACTTATTAATCACCAGTATTCCTCCCACCTTCCCCACCTTGTTAATGCGCGAGTCCCACACCCAAATATTGCAGCATCTTCATACAGGAAGCAAAAATCCTGACAAGTTTTTTCCTAAACGTAAATAAGGCCCTCATCTATCCTCTTAATAACCATAACTTCTTTTCCGAACACAAAGCCTCTTATGAGAATCACTATTTTTGCTCTTCAATCATATTCCTTATCACATAGCATTAAGTTCAAGACCCTTAATTTTGCTTTCATGGACTTATTATGCTATCTCTTTGTTAATTAACAAATTTCTCTTGGATTTGCTTTCCAAGATGCCAGCTTTAGCAGCTACTTGAGTCCACCCACAATTATGAAACCTTCTAATGACATATTCTACACTTGAAATTCCCAGAGATAAAAATCTCTTCTGTAGACTCAGGGTCCCAAAATATCATTTCTGAATTTGTCCACGCTGAATTAACGCGTTTTTCCATCAACAGTTATTCTGTACACTACATATTCTGTACAATCCTCGAATGCTCTGATTATAGTCACAGGCAGGCCCTGTATATACGCAGACCTCTTCATTCTCCCAGGAAGAATCACAAGCTCTCTGTTTATTTTCTTAAATCTCACCTTCCATTGCACATCCACACAAAAAAAAAAAGTCTGAAGCACAAGTACTGCTTTAACTAAAAGGAATAAAGGCTTCTTGCCACAGACTACATGCAACCCCTGTATACTAATTCAGATATCATATATCCCTTCTCCTGGCATCAAAAGGTAGCATTCTGTGCCAGCTTTTTTCCTGGCATCCCCTCTTCAGGGATGACATACGGGGCAATTTCATTCCATCTGCCAGCAGCAGGGATCCTGTTGTCTGTTGTTGCTGTTGCCTCTTACAATAACCAATTTTGCTCCTTTATCATATGCAGTACTGTTTGATGGCACATCAAATATCCCACGTTTTATTTGCGGTGCCTGTCCTCTCAAATATGCAAGACTTTTGCTTACACAGAAACACGTCTACCATCAAATGGCAGTTTTGAAACCAGCATTGTCCTCCCACTGAAAGGTAGATTTGAACATGTAATTGTTTGTATACCAACCAATGCTAACCTTCAATTGGCTTGCCACTGTTCAAAGCTGTAAGAAAATTTCTAGTACTTTCATTCTCATCATACCATGTGGAGATGGGTCATTCTTTGATTCTGCCTTTCACAAGTTTTATTACATGCTATTTACTTCGAAGAGACCTTTAAGAGTAGCCTGAATGAATATGCATATTACCAGCATTTTAAAGTGTTTCTGTTCTGCTTCCAATAAAAACAATCAAGCTCAGTCACCATTGTCTAAAGTCTTTGCAGTTATTTGCATATGCTCCATAACTCAAAACAATTAATTTGAATTATTTATTCTAACAATATAAATTGATAGCCTCACACTTGAACGTCTTTGCCTCGTAAAATATCGCTCTTTATTGCAAATTAACTTACATGAAGCATAACCTAAAACACAAGTAGTAAAACTGGCAGTAACATGATCTAAGCATGTGCCAAAATACTCTCTGAAGACTTATGCACAGTAAGTAAGGCCTCAGGAAAGTGCCGTTAGCTTTAGTGCGTCCTATGATGTAAAGTCTGATTACTCACAGGAACTGTACTTTGATGTATTTGTTGGGTGTGTTTTTTTGTTTTTGATTGTTTAATGTATTGATAGTCTTTGCACACCACTTTGGGTCTGTTTGTACAATGTCCAGAGTAACTGACTTTCAACTCTAGCTATGGCATCGGGGCATAAAACTACTACTACAGGTTATAAAAGTAGGAAAAACGTGTTTATGTATGAATTTCTATACTTTCGTTAAGAATAAAAGAGATAGCATCCCATACTGTAAACATAAATCATGACTTGAATATACAGAATTTTTAGAGTTTAAAGCAACACATTCATAGCTGACATACCTGCTCCTTGGAAGAAACATAGACTCTTTAATGAAGACTGAACCAGACAGCAGGATATACCAACAGGTACCAATATCATCAGGGCTGGAATCAAAAAGAGAACATGGTAAGACACTTGGTTTAAGCAGCTGATAGTACTAGCAGATCTCCAGTAGGAAAGCACCATGAAGAGCCAAAAATGCTCAAAACTGTAGAAGAAAACCACAGTTCAATCATTTAATAAAAAATCCTTTAAATCCTTCTAATTTCCACCTAAAATGACATACATCATTAGAATGCCTTGTAAACATTTATCTCACCTTTAAAAAGAAACAAAGAATGCCCCACAAATCTATTCGTTTTGTAACAACACAGAAGTCCAGTGAAGTATAATTGCAATTGGTTAAAAAGAAATCAAGTTATTCTAAGTGTATTATATTCTGTTGAATCCTTTACTTTCCTCTTGCTAAAGAGGACTGTAGCTTCTTCATCTCTACACATAAGGCCTCCTTTCCTGATTCTAGACATCCGCCACTTTTCCCTTTCTTCAGGAAAGAAATATGTCTTTTGGCATCACTCCACCTTCCCCAAAAATAAGAGTACTGAATACATTTACAGATGTAAACCTACATCCTATTTGCAGTCATCTTATCTCCTGCTATTGCTCACTACCTATTTCCTGCTTCTTTCTGGCACAAGAAAAAAATCCCCCACAAAAGGGACAGAGTTTCTTCTCCCTTCCCATCTCATAGAAGGCAAGTAAAGGTGTGGAAGAAAGTTGTGATTTGCATCCCTTTGCCACCCATGCCCAGTTGACTTTACTGTAGATTCAGATGTTTCTCCTTGAACAGTGTGAAACCCTTTTCATAGGCTTAGACTCTCTTCTTAGATAAGTTCAAATGTTTAGACAGGGAAAGAAACTAGCTTAAGGTTACTAGAAATAGCTGCAGTAGGAATCTTGTTCCATTTTACAGTCTATACTGAGACTGTGTGCTTTACTTCAGTTTTTACCACTCCCACTGCTTCTTGCAAAGAAGCTCAGTAAAAGTGGACTTGAACCCAATTAGTAATTGCACTAGCATTCCTATCCAAAACCACATCCCTAGTGACATTAAGAGATGCAGATTACTTAATCTGCAGCACCTACATTTTTTTAAATTACATGTCTCAAGTCTTTAGCAACAATTAGTCCCAACTTCAAGCAAGAACAGCCCACATCTTTTAACAAACGATGACAGCATAGTATTAAAACCCGATCTTAAATCTAAGTAGGCTTCATGTAAGTAGCACGTTTTTCACTTGATGGAACAAAGCTTAAAAAGTATCTATGAAGCAGGGTCCTCAAAACAAGATCACCATTTCTTCAGCACTCACTGCATTATGCTTTCTAAAAGGAAAGATGAAGTGGGGAAGAGAGGGGGGGGAGCTAGCCTAAAACAGAAGAAAGCAAAAAAAAAAAAAAAAATCCCAGCAAACAGTCAAATTTAGAAAAAATTATTTTATTTCCATTTCACACTTTAATATAACCATGAGAGAAAGGAGAAGAGATCAGAAACATGGAGGATTTATAGAGAAAATTGAGATTACAGTCTATGACCAAGGACATAAAAATTGATTAAAATGGCGCAGCCTATATTTGTTTTCTATTAGCCTATGACCAAACTGGCCAAGCAAATACAGCTACAGCAATTCTTTGGATATAAATAGACATGCCCTAAGAAGGGAGCAAGCAGAGAGTACATACCTGAAGAACAAAATAATGAATTTAAAAAGCACCTCAGACAGCATATCATGTTTACCATTGATTTAGTAATGTGAACTTTTGCCCAGCAACCAAATTTAAAGCTTTTGTGTTTTTACTGATCCAGAAATCCACACTAGTATGCTGTAGTTCCAAGCAGTCAGATGTAATTGAACATAGGTATATGCTATGGTTTTTCATGCCACTAAATTGAACTGGAACTGTCGTCCTTGTGAATTACAGTTGAGCTTGTCTAATCTTTCTTGCTCTTTCTGCTGGAAAATAAAGCTCTTTTCACCTATGCCTTACTTTGGAGACAACAGTGGATTCTTTTTGCTGATGGCTTGTGGCCAACACTCTGTTGGATGTTACTTCAATTACAGAATCAAGCATTTATGTTATGATACTTAAGTGTGCAAGTACCCACCCTCAGAGTTTAGTTCTTAACATGGTAACTTCAAGTTTATGCACCTTCATCAATACTGTTTATGTCAAGGCATACACAAAAGTTAATTCAAATACATGCAATAATTTATTTCAGAACATCAAGTAAATTTTGGAAGTAGATTTCCTATACACAGTTAATTACCTTTCGTATTGAAAATTCAAGCATGTATAAGCTCATTATAGAAGCCCCACTAATGAGGGCCTATGATTACTATAGGAAATGACTACAAATATAATCAAAATTGAAAATGTTTGTCAACTGAAACTATATTTGTGCTCCTCTACAGACTCTGCATATGTGCATACTCTAAAGGTACTTCCCAAGCAATGTGAGCACTCATCCTACCCCAGATTTGTGTATATAAGTACGTACCTATATAGCTACTATATACCTATATAGATAGATATATATGTACTTCTGTTGTAAGGCTTTTTACTCATTTGATATACAAGCTTTATCAAATAGATTACATCTGCAAGCCTCTTCTACAGGCCAGTCAAAAATAAATTGGTATAACCTCAGCTGAGAACTACAATCCATTCCTAAGCAAAGCGCATTTCATCTTTCAGCCACATATTTCAATATAAGTTCTATCAACTGTTTCATCCTGGAAGGTGCACAAGCATCATAGCAAGCGATAGAAGATGACAGCCTCTGATGTAGCTGTATCTCATTCACAGATGACTTCACAGCTCACAATCAAGATAAACCGACAAGCAAAAACATGTACAAAAGCTCTCTGGAATGTAAGGTGTTTTTCTGCTGAATTGCAAAGTTTACTACATAAAAAGATGCAGTACCAATGTTGAAGATGCCTGCAGTTGAACAGGGCACAAAATCATCTGGGTTTAAACAGATGGAAAACTGTGCCGACCATCTTCAAAACGAAAACTTCAGAAAATACTTCTCTATATGGATAATATAAAATATATTTTGTACTTCTTTATATGGACACTAGAAAATGAGTCAGTAACTTGGCTTCACAGCTAAGACAACAATTTTGATTTACATAATGCAGTATACCAAGCAGCCTTTTCTGAAATGCTATTCACATGCTTGTTTCTCACATGGATCTGTACCATGCTCATCCAACTTGTTCATCTAGAAAAATCAACATGGCATATAAATAGAGAACCAAGTTAAAGCAGATAAACTCCGGAAAATTAGCCACTTGAAGAAAAAATACTGCTCTCAAAAGCATAAACACGCACCTCAGTTAGGTCACATCTCTAGACATTCTTCCCCCAAAATTCATCCTGAAAGAGCTCACACCGACAAGCAAGCTGCACAAAACTAGAGGACAAAGGTGTGTGACAGGGAAAGATATCAGAAGCTCATGGAAAGATCTGGATTAGCATCTCCTCCTAAGCTGAGAGGCATATAACCAGCACTGCTGCTGAACTGCACATTTGCTGACTTTGTTGTTTGTTTTTAATAGATATAACTTGAAGTATTATGAGCTGCATTAATTAAAACACTTGAAAGTTTCTTTAAAAATTTCCAGTAATAGCTTTTAGGTCATAAGTGATTTTCCCAAGCTGCTGGAAAATAACTCAGTTAGGATTTCAGAGTGATAAATTGTCCAGGTAGATTATAGAGAGTATTATATTATCATTTTTAACCACCCTTCCCCTTCCACCCCCCCAAAATTAGCAGTTTAAGTATAAACGCGTAGTCTGATGGAAAACCACTCCAACTGGGTGTCACAGGCTTTATGACTCCAGAACAAGAGTAATCTAGAGATCTGTTTATACTTTAAAGGAAGTCATTTTCAAATGTAAAATAATTGGAAGAATAAAAAAAAATGTATTTAAGCCAAGTCAAATATTTGAGCTTACAAAAAAACTATTAATATACAAGGTAAAATCATTTTTATTTTGGTCCTTTAAGCACTGATGAACTATTAAAATCCTTCTCTCAAATCACGTATTTGTAAGGCTTAAGATCTCTCTGGGGATTTTTCTCTCCAAAGACCAAGGCAGCCACTGGTCTTCACAGCCTTCAGTCAGTACGTTCAGTATACAAACTCATCTTTACTTTTGAATCTTCTACGAAATCACTTAACATACAGCTTTAATGATTATATATTCAGCCACAATTGTTTAAGCTTTTTTTCATTTGATCATACACAGCATGACTCTTCATTCAGTTAATCATTCAACTCAGTTTATGGGTTTCTCCATTGAACTTTCCCTGAAACAGTTACCTCTTCAGCAGCTGTTGCTCCTTTTGACTTACCTATCATGCACTTAATCCAAATATATATAAACATACATATAAATTTATATATAAAAAATTTTAGAAGTGGATAAAGTGAGTGTGTGTGTATATATGCATATACACACATATCGAAAGCAGCATCTGTTTTATGACAGCTGAATGCTGGATACAGATTCAATAAGAAAAATCAAACTTAACTAACATTATCTGCTTAGTTTTGTTTTCCTTTTGCTTTATGCATACTTTGATAACTATATTTATATTTTACAGTCATGTTTGAGAATTTCTAAGCTCTCCTAAGGTACTGGCATCATGTTGTGCAAAACACAAAGCACTCCTGTGATATCCTACTCCTTAATTATCTGAGTAAACAAATAAATCTGCAATATGGATGTGCCACAAGAGTAGAAGGTTACTACAGAACACATATTCAAGAGGTATCTTCCCCAAAAGATAACCTACGTTCTTTTAAGCTTTCATTGCTAGTCAAACACCATAATAATTTCCAAGGCAGTTTTCAAGAGCAAAGAATAGCGATGTCTTCTCATTCTCCTCATCCTTAGAGCTACTGCTAATACAATTACTGGTTTCTTAATATATTGCCTTAAACAGAACATCTTTAAAACTACGTATAGAAGGTACGTTCCCTTCCCTAGAACACACGTGCTACCTTCTAAAGAAACAACAAACGAAAGA